CAAAGGAGGGGTGTCCCGGAGTATAAAAATCGAGGGGATTGACAATCTTTCGAAAAATTTTTGAAAATTGTCGAGCAAAAAAAAACAAAATTTCCGAAGATTGGGGGGTGACTCCCGGTCCTTCCGCGCAGGCGACATTCCTACATCAAAGGCCTTCTTTTGTATCCCATTCCGTTTAGATACTTCAAAACAGAATTTTCTTATGTATATGAACTATAAACACCTTTCTAGTTTTGGTAAAAGACTCGAGCAATCGAGTTAAAATTTAGCGAAGATATCCTTTTTTTTTCGGTAATGACTTTCTAAATGTAATGTATATATGTCGTAGTTGGCATGGAAATTCAGTTGAGTTTGGAATACATGCTGATAGCATCAGTCAGTCATGCGATAATTATTGTTTGTTTAGTATTGTGCTGAACTTTTGTCATTACATCAATTCTAAATTATTGGTCAAGTTTTTATAATTTATTTTACATTATTTTAAAACATTTGTATATAGATAATTTTCATTGTTAACAATTATTATTTGGTAAATATTAGAATTTTGATTAATTTGGTGTATCTGTTCATACTTAATTAATTGATGTTCGTTGTTATGAAACATCAAATCAAGAAACACATTCTATGTCTCTTTGTTTTTAATTACATAAATTATTTATTTATTTTATTGTGTGAATCTGCTTGCAAAAAAAATGAATACGTTCAATACTAAGGTAAAATTTTACATTGATAGACTTCTTGATAATAAACGTATCGAGTAGATAATCAACAATTCGTATATAGAAGCAAAAGTCAACTACTATTCCAAATATTACCAATTATTCGATTCAAATTTTAACAAAGAATTTAGTAACACTAAAGATTTAACCAATCATTCAATAACCCTATGTCTTTGAACTCACTTCACAAGTCTGTGTGTTACTATTTACCAGTAGTAATATAGTATAAAATATAATGTAATCCATGATGCCGCACGTATTTTTATAAGATCAATCAGAGAACAAAAGGCCCAATATTCAAGTTGCAATTTATCTGGGGATTTATCCTTTCGGCACATTGTAATCATCATATATCTACCTTCTCATGACTATAATATATTGTTTATATGACGTCATTAATGACGCACGCAACACATGTCATAGTTGACGTCAGAATTTAATTAAGGTTGTAATGTGCGACTAAATTTTAAAATATACAATTAGAAAAAAGTTTCTAATAGGAATGAAGTTTTATTAACATAATGAACTGATTGATTTAGACATGTGTTCACAAAATAAAACCATATTGAAAGCCATTGATAACAATGTTTTTTTTTGTTTTGCTGTATGTTATCAAAAATTTATCAATAACGATTATGTATCATATATCATCGATTACAGCATTCGAACAACAAATTTTACTTTGAATTTCATTCGTACTTACAATCATTCCTTCTCAGTGAAAAATTTTAGAGATTAAAATCAATTAAAATCTAAACTGTTAATCAACATCAATCAATTATAAGTGCCTCCTAATCGATTGATATCAATTATAATTTCGATGTTCATACAGAATAATTAGGTTGGTAATTTCGATTATAATTCATCATAAGCAATTAGGGTGTGGGTGTGTGGGTATGGGTGGGTGTGAGGGTGTGGATGTGAGTGTGTGGGTGGGTGTGGGTGTGGGTGTGAGGGTGTGGGTCTGGGTGTGGGTATGGATGGATGTGGGTGTGGGGTGTTGATGTGGTGTGGGTTTTCATCTTCTCTTCATCGACACCTACATCCACACCCACCACACCCCACCCACACCCACACCCACACCACACCACACCCACATCCATACGCATCACACCCATGAGACATTCGATGAGAATCTAATCGAACTTTTAATTAAATTTGTCATTGAATAAAGAATTTTTTTGGGATACTACAGCTTTATTGAAAATAAATTATTTGTTGGAAAAGAATTGTTGTATTCTAATATAGTGAAAGATGTTGTTAGGTTGATGGTTGTTCACGAACACTATAAAATAGTATATAAACATTCTTCCTTATCTAATATGTTTTACAAAAATCAATCACCTGGTTGATTTAAGCTCGAAATTGTCATGGCTAAAGAAAATTTTCAAATTCTAAAATTACAATAAAATCATTTTCGAACTCTTTTATGTGGATAATATAGTTCGACCATTTGTCTATAAAATCATGTTAAAAGATTCTTTTCAAAACATGTGGTGGCCAAACTGTACTAATTGTTCGAGATATCAAAAATTGTGACGTTAACACTAATGATTTTGCTAAACTTAACGACTCAAAAGATTTTATGATTCTTAGACAAGTGAAGTTAAGTTTTTTTAAAGATACGATCGACAGAATTTTGAATATACTAATCGCCCATATATTTTAATTTGAAACACTCTCTTGTTCGGGAGAAAAAAAACCAAAGTGCATTTTTTTTAAAAGGGTGCGGAGGGCTCTTTCAGTCAATAGAAATGTTATATCTATAAAAGTACTTTAGTATGCATAACCTTAGCCCTCCCCCAGTAATAGAAGGCCCCTTCTTATATCACGTTCAAGCGTCAAAAGTTTCAGAATTGGTCTTCGTATATGGAATAGACTTCTATCAGCGTATGGGTGGCGGGTGTGCCGGGTGAGGGAGGATGTAGGTGCTCTTTATATCCACACTTACATCCACACCCACACCCTGAAATTATATAATAAAAAAATGTCTATTTAACGTGGAATCAATAAAAATTATACTTATATATACACACCAAGTTAGACAGTACTACCATGAGGATATGGCTTCTGTTTGTCGCCACATTTAAGCATAAATGAATGGCATTTGATAGTTTTGTGAAGATAAGTTTTGATAATGAATGAAGTAGACTTTCTCTTTGACTGTGCGACACTTAAATTAAATAATATATTCTTATAGTTGGAGATCATCGGTTGTTTTATGAATAATGCATACTAAAATTGTGTAATCAAAGTTTGTTTCGACCGATCATAATATGGATATTTTTGTTTCTCAGCATTTACTAAAGAACTCTAGTCAAATGTTCACTTTTTACAGGATTAGGAAATAGCTATTATACTTCTTGAAGTAATCGTACTAAATAATATAATTAATGAGACTAGAATTCTATTCGGATTAATCTTTTTATGTTGACTGTTCATGAAGAAAAGAAAAGCATAATTTTCTCACTCAGTCATTACATAATTTATGTAGTCGAAATCAAAACTTCATAGATAAACTATAATGGTGAACTTTCTAAAAACATGGGACAAGGTAGCTATGAGATCTCAGAAAACTTTGTTTGAGCTAATTCTTAACAATGCGAGCATAGAAAGTACAATATTTCACAAACTCCAGAAAAAAGTTTGTTGCTGACTTTTTAGACATTTCGTCGTCTTTACGACTTTTATGATTATTTTAATGTTTTGAGTGAAGGTCGGAGAAAATGCTGTAATCCCTAAGTTTGCTCTTTTTAAGAACGGCAATGTTTAGAAAAACCTAACTAAAACAAAATCTTCTGACACTAGAAAAATACCTCGTCCATTTTTCCGAAAGCTAACAGTCATAGTTTATTTATGAAATTTTAATATAGAATGCATTAGATAGAAACCTCCATCAGTTATTAAAATATTATGATCTAGACGCTTAGTATCTTAGAAAAAAATACTTTCTTGCTAAACTTTTCTCCACCATTTAAACCACAACAATGTTTATCATGTTTCGAGAATATTCGCTATTATCATGAAGTTGATCTGAATGGAGATCGATTGAGCACGCAAAGATTGTTCCTATATCATTTACTTCGACTATGTCGATAAGAACACACTCAAATAGATGATATCAGTATCAAGTTTTCAAAAGAATGAATTTTACTCTTAAAGAACCTCTTCTCATTAGAAATAAGATAGATAGACTGTTGTTATTATATGTTCAAATACGAAAATTACAAACCAATGCACATTTTACAAGTAGCTTGTTAATTTTAGAAATCTTAAGACTTTTGAAAAACTAAATCTTCCTCATAAATAAGCCGATTTCAGAAACTATTCGAAAAAAGGTTTTGGATTTATAATAATTATCGATAAAGCAATCGAAGATCGTCTGTTCGAAAATACAACACTCTCCAGGTAATCTCATTAAATGCGACAATTTGCTATCGATACATTATCGAATTATTTATTTATATAACGTAAGTAATGTTAGAACTGGATCCAATTTTTCATCTATGTTCGTTCTTAGATGCAGACTTTGATTCTTTATCGAATGGTACCATTTTCGGTATGGGTTATCTGGCAAAAAACGTTCGCTTGAATCTGCCTCTAGGTATTTGGTATCAAGGATGGATCGAAAGCGAAGCCTCAAATTCTTACTGTCGACCCATATCCTCCACCGCACTCACGCCCACACCCTTGGTAACCAAGGACAATGTGTTTTGACTAGCGTAATCAAAATTTAATATACTGGTACTGATTGTCATTTTGATTGAAAACGTAAGATTTTATTTTAATTCAAAAGAAATTCACATTATATAAACTTCACGAAACTTATTTCTTCAGTCGAAAATCTTTTGCAACTGGAAACTAGTATTGACTATGTCCGTCTATAGAAAACAACTTTCTTATCTTTACACTAGAAAATTCAGAAAAACGCGTTTTAATAAATGAAAAAAAAAGTTTTTTTTTTAATGACGATGATTGTTTATGTATGGATAGAGATCAAAATTCACAAACAACAAAATAATAAGCAAGCAAAAAAAAACAAATGAATGGAAAAATATTAATGAGAAGTGTTATGTGAAATTTTAAAATAAATGACATGAACATGTGATATAGAAAAAGAGCATGAATATAATTGTTCACACATCGAAAAGTTTTTCTATTTCATCTTGTATAACGTCAAATATTGCTGATTGATCTTTTGAAACATGAGAAACTGATGATTTATCTAATGGCCATCATGAATCCAGCTTGTTTATTAAATTCAATAAATTTGAATAATGTTTATTTGTACGTTGAGTATCTTTCCATGATTGCAATGATTTTAATACTACTTCGTTCGATATCAACATTACTCATAGCCATTATAATATTTAATGCACATATTAAATCAAAAGTTCGTTCAGAAAAATAATATGGGAAACCCCGGTCAGATAATAATTCTAAATACAAATCTAAAAATGGTTCACTAGCATATGTAAGTGGACCTATTATTTCTATGCTGCTCCCTTTGTTATCCATATTAAATGCAAATGCAAAAACGAAATCAATTAACTTTATATGATTACTATCACGATGAATAACACGACAATCATATAAATAATGAATTATATCAATAAGTTGTTTCGATTGTATCAATGATAATGATTCTATACATTGTAATTGTTTTTCATAGAATAAATATTTATCTGAATACAAACAATAAAAAATTTAGAAATAGTATGAAATATTATTTCAATCATAGGTAAATTGAGATGTAGTCTTGTACCGAATCAAATCACTTACGTAAATATTCTTTTTATTAATTATTTCATCTAAACTACGAACGAATAGTATAGATAGCTGTTTAATCACAATCTTAGATATGAACAGAAGTTAAAGTCTTGAAAATTATTTTAAGACATTTAGTTTTCTTTTATTCATAACTGAGCTGAGTTCTTTATTAGAAAGATCATAACAATCACTCAATTATCTAATAGAATTCTCAAGATTAGATATGTTTTAGTTGAGTTCAGACTAAAAGCAAGTTTGTCCTAGTAAACATTATTTTCAAAAATTTTGCTTTGTATTATCTATCTCGTTTATCAAACAATAGTTTTTAAATCTTTAAATTGATCGATGTAACGTTAACATTTTACAAAAATAATTGGACGAAAATTTTACTAATTTAATTTAATTTTAATTCATTTAATTAAAAAGTATTGTTTTGATTAGAAAGATAAACAGGTCATTTAAAAATTCAGCTTTTACGATGAGTTTCATTAATATATAATACATCTTTTTCTTGCAAACTTCTACTTCTATCTATTTATCCTATCTTTTCTTACATGAACATGAAAGACTAGAAATATATGGATAAAGATTTGGGCATATATACTTATGTATATACATTAGTCCTATATTCTTTTGTTGTAACTCTCATACTTATATCCTTAATCCTAGTGCGTTACATCTATACCTTTAGTCATATAGCTTTATATCTATCATATTACGTCTATACGCTACACACTTATCCTATATTGATATATATCAATATTCTTATTCTTTAATTAATCAGTGAAAAATCATATAGATTTTTGTAAAGATTTTTCTTGACAAAAATATTCGATATTTCTATTTTTAAGCGTGATAATAAGAAATTATATGAAAAGAAAAAGAGACGATGATAAAAATAATGTTCAAGTTGTTGTCTACATCACTCTTGAAGAATGTTTGATGAAAATGAAAGAACTATGATCGTTCGGAGCATCTTTTTGTTTTTAAATAAATATTATTCATTGGAACGATCAAAGAGAAAAAGACAAACATTTAGCAAAACTGATTCAATTAAATTTCTATTGACATATCAATTTATCTATAGCTTCTAAAGAAAATAACTAATGTCATGTATTTCAATCAGACTAAATTTATTTATATTTATGTTTTTTCTTACACAACTATTGCTTTATTTCTCAATAATAAAATAGATTCTACTACATATCCCTCATAAAATTCATTTCTACAACACGATCTATTTAAATAGTATAATTTTGAATCTAATACTTGAAAACGTTAGCAGAGTTTATTTCCTACAGTTGTATTTTTACTCAAAATATTTCACGAAAAGCAAAAGACTACTACTCATGAACGTGTTTACACAATAGTTTTAGATGATGTTTTAAACTAAAAACACCATACCACCGATAAAGTAACGTTACTAAACGTATTATAAATACCGATGCATTTGAACATGTTTAAACTAAAAACTAATGCGTTTAACCATAAAAATTCCATGTTTTTTCTGTGAAAACTGACTTTAAAGTACTGATTTCTATAATCTGTTGTTCTTCAGTAGTAATAACATGTTTTATCGAGCTTTCATTTATCTTCTAAGGATAAAAACAAAAAATGGCCTCTTTTCTTTTTTAACTAATCTTATTCGAAATGATGATTCTTTTGTTTCTTTCTTTTTACAACAAATATTTTATTAATTATTATTATCCTTGTTTAAGATGTTGCTTCAATTTATATGTATTTTCATTTAAGATAAAACATTATAGTTTTATACTGAAAATTACAACATCAAACACAGTCTGAAGATTTTCATATCTTACAATTATATACATATATATGTAGCATGAAAATAAACTTGCATAATTATTCTTATTTGCCTTGTTTTATATTCCCTAGACTGAAAGGCTAGGGTCTAGAAACCTAAATTCACCTGTGTCTGTGTGTCTGTCTGTCTGTCTGTCCGTCTGTCTGTCCGTCTGTCTGTCCGTCTGTCTGTCGGTAACGCGGTCAAAATGGCCATTTTTTTGGCACAAGTGACCATTTTTTTGGCACAAACGGCTAGTTTTTTACTAAAATTAACTAGTTAACTATGGTACAAATGAGCATATAACTATGGCACAAACGGTCATTTTTTTCGTACAAACGACCACGTAACTATGGCACAGGTGACCATATACAAACCATGGTACAAACAACTATTTCGGTAACTATGGCACAGATGACCATATAGCAACCATGGTACAAACAACTATTCCGGTAACTATGGCACAGATGACCATATAGCAACCATGGTATAAACAACTATTCCGGTAACTATGGCACAGGTGACCATATAGCAACCATGGTACAAACAACTATTTCGGTAACTATGGCACAGATGACCATATAGCAACCATGGCACAAACAACTATTCCGGTAACTATGGCACAGGTGACCATATAGCAACCATGGTATAAACAACTATTTCGGTAACTATGGCACCAATGACCATCTAAAGACTGATGTAAATGAACCCATAATAATCATCGATAAAATGTGTCAATGAAATAACTATAATTCGGGTAGTGGTGTAAAACCGCTTACAAAAGCATTTAATTAGTGAGAGTCAGACCAAATGAGCAGTATGGATTTAAAGAAATCGTTTAAATTATTCATTATTGTAGGATTGATTGTGCAATGTTGTATCAATGAATATCTAATTTATTAATAGTTTAGAATTAATGCGCGAATTGAAGCATAAAATATTGATTAATAAAACTCAAATTTTATGAATAATATAATTCATATTTTTGTACGTACAAATAGCGCCAATATAATTACAAAAAAAATCGTATTCTTGTCTAATCTTATTGAGCGCTATTTATATTTATAAAAGCAAAAAAAAATAAAACAAAAACGACAAAAAAAATTAAATTTGTAAAACGCATTATCTTTACTTAGAGTGAGAATTCTCCGAATTAAGTTTTCTGGTCGCCTAAGATATACTGGTTATATTATCAATTTTGCGTATTACTTTTTTAATGTAGCTTTTTATGCTATTACATCCGTACATGTATTCTATCAGTCTAGGGCTAAGTGAATCGCTTGTCGATGAACGTTACTTGTACTTTAAAAAGATCTAAAAACCAAAACTAAGTCTTATATTCAATCGATTGTAATTATCTAGATATTTCTCTTCGTACTCTTTTAATATATCACCAAAATATAAAAAAGAAGCATTTATTTCATTCGAACTCATCTTGTTCAAACAAATTACATTGAAGAATTATAAATTCAACATTATTTTTCATGGATAGACTTTGAATCTATAGAAAAAGTGAAGAAAAAGTCAAAAGATAAATGCCTTACCTGAAGACAATAGATATAGAATATCTCGAAAAAATAAATGAAATTTATTTAAATTATTAAACCGTTTTAATTTTTTTGCCATTTGAACTTCTTTTTGAAAACATTTTGAATATTTACTTTTTCTTAATATTTTCATTACATGATGTGGTGAATCTTCAACTGAATGATTATCTTCATTTTTTTCTAATAAATAAACCATCGATGATATATCAAATCCTAATTTTTATGTTATCATATATATCGATCACCAAGTAAATCATCATGAGGATCTATATTTAATCTTGTATATTGATAAAAATCAGTATTCATTGTTAAAAAATTTGTAAATATTTTCCATATATCTTTATTAACCTCTAATTTTCTTGTATTTTCAGTTGTTGTTACTGTTGTTGACGCATCAATAGACGATTATGTTTCGGACGAATAAGTAAACATTTCTAATTCTTGACTTTGAAAAAAATCATACCATTCCGAATCGGATTTCTTTTTCACATAAAAAAATTTGATGTGTATATAATTACTAAGAAAACCATATATCTTTTCACGATGTTGTACTGCCAATATCATTGTCAAATATTGTAATATTTCTTCAATCATTGAATCTGCTGATAAAGAAACATATGGAGACATTAAGTTACCAAAAGAAACAATAAAATCTTTTAAACATGGCTCTTCTTGATCAATATCGATATTTAGATTTTTATGTATAAATGTACAGTGAGAATTAAACTTATTTGCTAAATAATATGAAGAAGATGTATCTAAATATTTCAATGATGTAGAATTATTCAATATATTTAATAAATTAACAATTAATTGATCAAATCCTATTTGAATTTCTTCTTCATTTAATTTAGAATATGATGAAAATTGATTTGAATAATGTTTAATATAATTATTGTCATTTAATACTGCATCCATATCGAACGATTGCAATTCATCGGGTATATCGATATCGCAAAAGTAATCAGGAAATGTAAACACATTACGACGTTTTTTAGTTGATGATGAATCGGATTCGATATCTAGCTTCCGTGTTTTTCTTTGGTAAGCTTCATGTGTTTGTTGCCGTATTGCTTCTTTGATCTGTCTCTTCAATTCATTTGTACGTTTTATTATTTCAAGTTGACGATCCAATGTTTCATTTATACGTTTGCGTATTTCAAGTTCAGGATTCAATGTAACGTTCGAATTTTTTACTTTCATATTGATTTATTACTTCTTGAATTTGTCGCATATCCTAAGCGTCATGTTTCGTTTTTTCGATTTCATTCTTAAGTTGTTTGATTACTTGTTGTGTTTCTTCTTCCTCGTCAAGTAATTTTTCTATCAATTGTTGTACAGTTTCTTCTTCGCCATCATTTATAGCCATAGTTGTATAGTTTTTTTATTTTGATCTACAAGTAAAACAGAAAAGATATTTCATCAGCTGTAATCAAGAGGAAGATACAATCGAGTGATTGTAGTCAGGCAAGACCGAACGGAGAAGTGACAATAATGTGTAGGTTAGTTGATATAAAATTCGCAAATGATAGCACTTATATATGATCATTGAATAGAATAGAATCAGTCGGACGACCGACTTCAGCGGACTATTTTTGCCCTGAATGGCCGAAAACAATGAATGATATTAGATAGTGTGATAATCAATGGATACAAAAGACATTATAAAGGTATAAACAAATTATTAAATGTCTTATATGATGTTCAAAATAAGGCTTCGATCTATTTATTATTACACAGGACATACTGATCTGATGTACTAGCTATGAGAAAATTCAAATAATAGATGAAAATAACATATGCTAATATCTAACCAATCATAGGTATGTCGAAAAGTGAGGATGTGAGTATAAGTCTTGTCCTTGCCGACACACCGACACCCTGTTTCAAATATTTGTAAAACGAAGGGTGTGGGTGTCTTTTTTGAACCAGCACCAGCACCGACACCCATACACTCCACAACCACACCCACACCCTCAGTTTCGAACATCCCTCCGTTTCTATTCCGAACTCCCATGTAAAAGTTTTACGAACATCCCTATATTTTCATTCCAAACACCCGGTAGTTTCTTTTACGAATATCCGTTAAAATTATCCAGGTCCTCACATAGAAATGTGCGTGTCTTTGCCGTTCCGAACATCCGTTAAAAATTTTTACGAACATTCGTTTCTTGGCCGATGATCGTTCCGAACACACGTATTTTTCTAATTACGAACATCCGGTCTTTTTATCTTAAAAGTGATCATTTTTTGAAAAAACGGATGTTCGAAATGAAAAGTAGCGACGAAACGTCCAAATGCCCATTTCTCTCCTCACCAACTTAAAATATGTA